ACTTTTTTTGTGTAGACTTTCTCTCTTAATATTGTATTGTACTACCTCAAATGAGGGCTGTTAGATGTTTGACGGGAAAAAGTGAATTTACTTTTTTCATGGCACTACTTAGTTTCATGTCAGCGCAGGCTCTATACTATTTTATATCATGTACCCTATATTTTTTTTTTTTTATGAAGCAGAGATTAGTGCTCCACCGATTGCACATGCGCATTCAACTGACTTTTCCGCACAGGCGCATGTGCAGGCTACTGGGACACTAGATTATTGCGCATGAGCTTTTGTTGATTTTTCTCGCGCATGTGCATGTATAGTCTTTCAGGGTTCTGGGTTTCAGATATGATTGTGTGGACATCCTTCTCTTGGATGCATCAGGCGTCATCACACTGACGTCACGTACAACACGGAGATGCAGGCTACAGCGGGTAGGTTCAGGTAATTTTATAATAATTAGGATTGTAGCCCATTATTGGATGGATATCCCCTGACACAGCTGACACCCCTCAGGTTTGGGTAAGTGATACTTGTCTTTATTGATTAATTGATTTTTTTTTTAATGACTTGTATACTATGGGTGTATTTGATAGCTTGACAAAGACCATGTAGGTCGAAATGTTGCGATTTGACTGTGGGCTTAAATAAATTGCCTATTGTTGAATTTTTAGTGTGCCTGGACCTTTCTACACTTACTAAAGCCATTACTAACTGTTAACCTACCTATTTAGCCAAAGACAACAAAGTTGTAACTTGTCCTTTCACTACAACATCAATATGAAATTGAAAATCCATTGTACATTTGGCATAGAACCTATAAAAAGATGATAGTGATTTCACTATAAAATGGAGACTTTATCCCCTTTGCTGCCTGGGGTGCAAATCTACCTCTGCCAGTGTCAAATGGGCATCATTACCCAAGTTGGAACAAAAGCTCTGGGTGGCTAATGTGAATTGTGTGTATTTTGGATGCTGGAGTGATGCGTCCAATGGCAGCATACCCCCAGTGCTACCTATCTCCTCCCTTTAGACCTCCTTCCCTGACATCCCTCCACCTATAGTGAAGGGGATTAAAGGGACACTATAGTCATCAAAACAACTTGAGCTTAATGTAGCAGTTTTTGTGTATATATCATGCCTCTGAAGTCTTACTGCTCAATTCTCTTCCATTTAGGAGTTAAATCCTTAAATGTTTGTTTCTGTTTATGCAGCCCTAGCCACACCTCCCCTGGTTGCGAATGACACAACCTGCATGAAAATAAAATGCTTCATTTTCAATAAGATGTAACTCAATTTATCTTCAGAGCAGGAGATGAGAAATTCTAACTTAAACAGAATTTGCAATAAAGGAAGTATAAACATTAATTCTCTCATTACAGGAAGTATTTAGAAAGGCTGTGTAAGTCATATGCATGGAGGCGTGATTAGGTCTGCATAAACAAATTGATTTATCTCCTAAATGGCAGATAATTGAGCAGTCAGACTGCAGCTGTATGAGCTATGGACCAAAACTGCTTCATTAAGCTAAAGTTGTTTTGGTGACTACAGTGTCCCTTTAATCAGTAGAGGATAATCAAGATGGGGGAGAACTTAGCCTGGGTACTGGAACGGAAAAAGTTTTAGCTGTTTTATTATTATTATTATTATTATTAATAGGGAGGCGGACCATCACAATGTTTTTTGTTTGAAGTACCACTTTAACATATTAAGCAGGTGCCCTGATACTTCCATCTTTCCATTAGTTGGCGTTTAGGAATTATAGTGTAATACCTTGTCAGAATAATAAGGGAAATGTGGTGCCCAGTCCACATTTATGGACCTGCATCTACATCTTTAGTCTATGCCTATCTGAATAATTGGATGATTATATTTTTATCCTGTATATTGAGTGCTTGTTTTTTGGAGTTTTTTTTTTTGCATTTTTCCTGTATTTCAATGTGTAGTGCCTAAATGTTCAGAGATTAAAAATCTACCCATGTCTCAGAGGACAAACTGAAATACCATAATCATTTACTAAACGTGTGTGTCTTGTACTGCATTATGAGCTAATGTGCATTTCCCCTTCCATACAAATGCAACCCACATACAATACAAAATGCACATTCCATATGCAGCAAAACGGGCAATTGTAAAACAATTAATGGGGTAAGGAAAGATACTGAATAATGGACAATGGAATTATTGAAAACTCACTCTAAATTAGGGTGCAGGGAGAGATAATTAACCCCTTAAGGACACATGACATGTGTGACATGTCATGATTTCCTTTTATTCCAGAAGTTTGGTCTTTAAGGGGTTAAAAGGAGAGAGAGGGGTATTCAGATGAGACAATAAATATGGGAGGGAGGGATATTTTGGGGAAGACACTAAACAGGGATGACAGAGTAACATGCAGGTTGCTCTGTGTGTTTATTTTTTTTATATAAATTCTTTATTTTGAAAGATTTTTTGTTTTATGGGGTGGGGGTACAGAAAAGAAAACAGGGAGTTAGAGCTTGTGGTACAGTTTTTGGAGAATATACATGTACTGTTTTATGGCAGTCAAACATTACAAATACATGTACTAGTCGTTTGTCGATAGTTTCAGCATATATAATTTGCCAGCAAACACTTATTACCTTCTTATCAACGTTCAATCTTATTTAGACTTGGGTTTGGGGTGGGTTACAGAAACGAAAAGTGGAGGATCAGGTACCTTGTTGCATGCTTTTCTTTTTGTAAATGCTTTATTTATCTTACCTTTCCACTCTTTCCCTTCTCCCTTCCCCACCCTTAAAAATAAATTCTTCATTTTTCGTTAGCATGTTTGGTTAGGGGGAGAAAGGAAGTATTTTGTGGGGTGCAGAATCGAGGGAGCAGAGGGTGGAGGTGGTGGAGGGGTTGGTTGTACAGCGCATACTTTTTTTTTCAGTATTACATTGTAGTGTTTATATCGCATTCTTTAACAGTGTCTTCGTTGCCGTTGTGTAACGAGTTTGTTGTAAATACGTTTATAAATGTTGCTAGTTGCAGGGTGGGATTACAGGAGACAGGGAAAAGGGGGGGAAGGGGGTAAACCCATTTCAGAGTTGGCGTGATCTCATGTGACTTCAAGGAGGACCAATGCCTCTTTCGCACTTTAAGTATGGTGTTGCCAGTCAGGGAGATGGGGGTCCCCGCAGTGCTGGTGTGGGCAGGGTGCGTTTTGTTGCTTCCTGAAGAGTGGCGTCTTGGTGCATTGTGGGTGTGTGGTGTTCCTGTTTGTGGTTCTCTTGTTGTTTAGATGTGTGTTGGTTTTCGTCAATGAGGTGGGTTCAGTCTGGTGCTGGACCGGTTTTGGGGGTAGGGAGTGTGTATAGAATGTTGGTGGTTTGAGTAGGGGGGGTAATGTGGTCACGATATGGGGAGGTGTGGGAGTTGAGGGGGGTGTTAGTAGGGTGAGTGGGGGTGAGCGTGGGTGGGATTATTTCCTAATGCTGGGGTGTGGGTGGATTGGTGCCAGATGAGCTGCGGTGGTTTGTGCCCCCGTCATCCCTCGGCCTGGACGTGTGTGTTGGAAATTCATAAAGCCACGGGTCCCAGATTTTGTCAAAGGCTTTGGTGGAGTTGTGTATTTTTGTGGACAGTTTGTCCATTTTCTTAGTTTCCTCTATTTTGCGTAGCACTGTTTGCAGTGTCTGTACTTCTGGTTTATTCCAGGCTTCCGCTATGGCCCTCCTGGTTGCTAGGGTGATTTTTGCTATTAGTTTATTTTGGCATCTGGTGGTATTTTCTAGGGGTTTCGAGAGGAGCCAAATCCATGGATTTAGTGGGATATCAGTGTGTAGTACTTGAGGTTAGTCGTACGATTTGGTGCCATAGTGTGGTGATGTGTGTGCATTCCCACCATATGTGGAGATATGTGCATTTTACACCGGACTGTTTCCATTTGTTTGAGCCGGAGGGGGGTGAGGTACCAACTCACCTGTTGTATGCCTGTTCTTTGTGATTCACACGTATGGAGACCGAGGCTGTGGCTTCCCATATATCCCTCCAGTCTGAGGGGTGGTCTGGTGGTCCCAGGTCCCTCTCCCAAGCCGACACGTATGTGAGTGAGCCTTCTTTGAAGGCAGTGATTATGTTGATGCAGAGGGTAGATATCTGGCTTTTACGGATTGGGCGTATCATGCAGGCTTTTTCAAATGGGGTTAGGGTTGCAGTGCTTGCATTTTTATTTGATGGTGTGTCTAGGAAGCTTTGGATTTGGATGTAGCGGAAGTGGTCAAATGTGGTTAATGGCATTTGTTGGAGTAAGTCAGGGAATGGCAGGAGTGTTCCATTACGGTAGAATTGGTGAAAGCGGAGGGGGTCGTTGTCTTCGAACCTGGAGAAGTGTTGGGGCATCATTCCGGGGGCGAACTGTGTATTGCACAGAATTCAGGTGAGGGGGTTGTGGTTAGGGAACTTTTGTATGCTACCATCAGATTCTGATGGTGTTCATTAGCGCTGGGGTGGTGATGGGTAATTGTGGTCTGGCTTGTTTAGGTAGCCAAATATAAAGGGATGGGAGGTCTCTACCAAATATAGTGTGTTCTAGGTCTACCCATCTTTTGATGACGTATGGAACGTGTAGGTGTTGTACTTGCACTAGTTGTGCGGCGTGGTAATAGTGCGTTTAGTGGGGGAGGCCTAGTCCGCCTGCTCTATTCGGTATGTAGAGTGTCATTCATTTAATTCTGGCTTTTTTTGTTGGCCCAAATGAAGTGGTCCGTTTGGGATAGTAAGATTTTGAAGTCTGTGTTCGATAGTGGTATGGGAAGAGCTTGGAAGAGGTAGAAGAATCTGGGAAGTAGATTCATCTTGACTGAAATCGAGAGACCGGCCCATGTTTGTAGGTCTTGGGCGGCTTGTTGTAGTAGCGGGGTGTAGTTGCGTGTGTATGATTGTGTAAGGTCCTTCGGGATGTGGGTACCCAGGTAGCTTATCTTTATTTTTGTGAGATCAAAGGGGTATGTGTTTGCTAGGTTTTGGAGTGGTTGTGGGTCAGCATGGATCGCGAGGGCTTCTATTTTATCAATGTTCAATTTGTAACCGGATACCGTTGTGTAGTCTTGTATGGCCAGGAGGAGTGGGGGCATGGAGTTAATTGGGTCTGTGATGGTGAGTAGTATATCGTCTGCATAGACCGCAGCCTTATATTCCTCTGTCCGGATTTTGAGCCCTGTGAGTGAGTTGTGTTGCCTGAGCGTTTGCAGGAGGGACTCCAGTCTGTTTATTTTTAATGCATTACATAGACTTTCGAAATGCCTCTACCTTTGAACCACTGCTTTAAAAACCTACGAGGGCTGAGACCAAAAATTGTGTCCTCCTGCTATGGCAGGTCTGGGTGCCTATTATGTCTCTAATAATAAAACAACAATATTACATGATATATCATAATATTTGGTTAACATCATGTTAATCAGAAGGTAGAGCCCTGTCTTGTGGGCTTACAGTCTAACTGATTAACAAATCATCTGTATCACAAAGCAGTGAGCGCTGACCTACATTGCATGTTTCATAAAACTTTGTAACCAATGACATGTTCAATCATATTCTCTATTTTAGGGTCCGCCTTCTTGTAGCACAAACTACAAGGATCCTATAACACACATCACATAGATGCAATCAACAAGGCTGCATCATGTCTGCAGATAATACAAAAATTACTTTTCTCTGTATACTTGGAACCTTATTTGTCTCAAGTAAGATGTCATAATACATTTTTATTTAGGGCTCTGCTATGTTCATTATGTGCTAGAATATGTTATAACCAAATTATTTGAGCATCTGGTTATTGCAGTAATTGCATGGAATGGCTATTTTATATTTTTGTTTGTTTTAAGCCCATGTTCTTCTGTATAGCAAAATATTTTTTTAAATGATCTAAACATATAGACAAGAGAAATATCGGTAAAATTATTGTGGTGATTTTCAATCAATAGTTTATATTATAGCTGAAATTTAAAATGTTGATGTCTATTTGTTTCAGGTACAGATGGGAACCAAGTGGATCAATCTCCATTTATCACAGTGAGAGAGAAAGAATCTGCTCAGATAAAGTGTAATTATAGCATTACGAATCCCAACGCATTGTACTGGTACCAGCAAATTCATGGGGGATCAATAGTTATGGTTATCTCTGCGGTTACCACAGACTCATCCAAAGGCCGATACGGCATGTTGATCAACCGTAACCAGAGTACTACAGAGCTGTCTATTGACTCAGTGGAAATAGAAGACTCATCTACATATTACTGTGCAGTGCATCACACAGTGATATAGACTGGGAGGAAACCTGTACATATACCACAGAATGTTCATTCGAAAGGACTTCACTATTGTCAGACTTTTATGGAGTTGGCAGGGCGATATAATATTCAGTTACACCATATAGTGTATTAAGGTGGGCTTAACATAATATGGCCATATATCTGAATCCCCATACATATGTTTGCTAAGATAGGTGATTGTAAGTAGCCTTGTAAAATGTAAAACAAAAATGTGTTTGTTTGTTTGCTATTCCTTAATCTGTCTTTTGTATATATTTTAAGGTAGCACCAGTACTGAGAAATGTACGTTCCAGCTGTACCCCCCAATTCACATTTTTTTCTATATATATTTGGAATCCAGACCAGTTTCCTTTTTAGTTCAGCCCCCCAGCCCTCCACTATAGGTGCCCCTTTGGAGGTGTCCACAGGAAAGCATAAATTTGAGGACAGTGTCTGGAAGCAGTTTAAGCAGTAAGCATTGCAGTTAGCATGTTAATCACCAATGGTAAAATGAGTGTATGACCCACTGATATTGGGGGTAAAGTAATGGTGAGCTTAACACAATAAGGCATTATAGAGTAACTGAATCCCCATATATATACAAAAAGAGAAGTCCTGCGCTCACTCCCATCACTACTGGGCCAGCAGCAAGAACTACAGTACACATCAATGGCCATTGGAGGGAATGCCTGACTGCCAACGTCAAGGCAGACCCCCCTAGGACCCGCTTAGGGGGGTCTGCCTTGAAGTTGGCAGGTGGGCATTCCCTCCAATGGCCATTGGAGCAACTAAATGAACTCCATTTGTCTAAATATACATAGGGATTAAGGAGAGAGCGCAGGTAACTTTTTTTCTTTTCTTTGAATCCCCATATATGTTTGGTGAGATAGGTGGTTTTAAATAGCCTTGTAAAATGTAAACTGTATTTTTTTTTGTGTATGCTGTTCCTATAGCTGTATTTTGTCCACTTGTCTATTAACATGGCTCAATTTGATAATTAGTATTGAGAATTCAATTGACATACATTTAAAGTGCAGCACTTAATCAAACTATTTATACATTATAATGTTTTAATATATTTTATTTTAAATGGGTTATTTTAAAATTAACAATGTTCTTTCTGCTTTCAATATGTGTATTCCCACCTAATTTCCAGAAGAAGGCAGTATAAAACATGCAACATGTTTTTTAGACCAGCATACTTGCTCTTTTTCTAATTTCATTCAACTCTGATCTATAAACTAATATCTTATTTCAGAATCAAATACTGATCAAATATTAGTCACTCCCCCCATAACCCCCCCAAAAATACCCCATTATCCTCTCAGAATAAAAATAGTAAGGGGGAGACAATAAGCTAAATACCTGTAAAATAAAAATATGTTTTAACTTACCTTTTGATGATGTCTATTTTATTCCATCTTCTTTTCTTCAGCCCCGAAAAAAGCAAATAATAATCCATAAAGTTGTGTTGCGCTATTAAAATAAAAAAATACTCAAAAAAATCCATCTTGTGGGGGGTCCTTGCCCATGGGATCTCTTCGCAGACTGAGCTTGCAGAGCGGGGAAAGACTTATAAAGGCATACCCATGCTGTAAAATTTGGGTCGATGCACTCAGATTGGCTTGGTTATAAGCCAACCAATCAGAGTACTATCACAGGTAAATCTCAAGAGTTACCTATCTAGAAGTTTTTAGGTAGTGTATTTTTTTGAGTGGGGGTGACTAAGGGCTTAAGGACCCATGATCAGTGGGGGACATTTTTAATAACCTCCACCACTGCCAATGGATGGGGTTTGAGGGGTGGTCCACTCACACTTTTGTTTTTTAAAGCCCCCACCTGCTGCCACTAGGTGTAGGCTGGGGGACACCATGTCCCATCTTAATAATTTTAGAGTTCCCACCCCCCACAATGGGTCAGTGTTTCTACCCACCAACAATGGGTCAGTGTTTGTGGGGCAACAGGTTCATCCCTCCTCATAGTGAAGCCTGTGATCGGACCATTTTGCCACCTGGCAGGTCCCTGTTTAGAACTAAAACAAACAAACAAAAGAACAAATTGCATGGACAAAATTTTGTCTAACAAGTAGAGATGAGCGGACACCTGGATGTTTGGGTTCGCCAGGTTCGGCCTAACTTTGGCACAAAGTTTGAGTTCAGACTCGAACTTGACTCGAACTTGACCCCAAATCCGAACCCCATTGAAGTCAATGGGGACCCGAACTTTTGGGCACTAAAATGGCTCTAAAAAAGTCCTGGAAAGGACTAGAGGGCTGCAAAAGGAAGTAAAATGGGGGTAAAAGTAGGACAAGTGCCCTGTAAACAAATGTGGATAGGGAAATAACTTAAAATAACATAAAATACATAAAAATTAAAAATAATATTCTTGAACTAGGAGGAGGAGGTGGATGTGGAGTAGGAGGTTGAGGAGGCGGTGACCGTGGCAGTGTAGGTGGAAGCGGCAGATGAGGCGGAGGAGGTAGCCAACACTGCTTTTTATTTTATTTTATTTATTTATTATTTTTTTTAATTGGGGTAGCCCCCAAAATATTGGGACATATAAAAAAAGAAAACAAAGAATAAGTGCACTTGAGTATAACAATGGCTGGGTGAGGCCGGTATAAATGTATATTCTGCACAAGGTACAGACAAGTCTGGAGGGATCCATGCTTGGTTCATTTTAATAAACGTGAGCTTGTCCACGCTGACTGTGGACAGGCAGCTGCATTTGTCTGTGATTATGCCCCCTGCCGTGCTAAACACACGTTCAGACAATACACTGGCTGCAGGGCAGGCCAGCACCTCCAAGGCATAAAGGGCAAGCTCAGGCTATGTGCCCAATTTGGAGACCCAGAAGTTAAATGGGGCAGACCCATCAGTTACTTCACTGTCTCAAAAAATGTGAATTTGTCAAACAACAATGTAAAAGTAGTATTTAACGGTTTTATTGGACTGCAAGAAATGCACCGCAGGCCGCAAATGTACTATTTAGCACAAAAAACTGCGATTTTTTTTAAACCAACAATCTAACAGTAGTATTTAAAGGTTTTATTGGACTGCAAGAAATGCACCGCAGGCCACAAAATGTTCTATTTAGCACCCAAAAAATTGAATTGGTCGAACTGCAATGTAACCACAGTATTTGATGGTTCTATTTGACTCTCAGATATGAAGTGCACGCCCCAAATTTACTTTTTAGCACCAAAAAAATTTGAATTTGTCAAAACTGCCTATATGTCATTGGCGGATCCAGGGGGGGGCAACGGGACAATTGCCCCCCCCGAGATTCTCCCCTGCCGGCTAATGCAGGACTGGCATTGTCCAACTGCCAGCCCTGCCATGTGCCTGCGGACCAGTGGGGAGGGAGATCAGTGCCACATTGCTGACAGCCGGCAGGGTAGGGAGAGAGGACCCGGGAGCACAGTCTTCAGCTCCTCCGGGTCCTCCTCTCGCGAGATTTGGAGCGTTGCCGCGGTTACCACGGCAACACTCCAAATCTCGCGAGAGTGAAGTCTAGATGGGCTAGACTTCACTCCACACTGGAACCACCAGGGAATAGCACTGGGACCACCAGGAACGGAGAAATGTCCCCCCTCCTCCTCAATAAAGGTAAGAAGGGAGGGGGGACATCAAAATATTTATTTTATGAAATACATTTAAAAAAAAAAAAAAAAGCCTCCCTACCCTCCTTCCTCCCCCATACACACATACACTGCCCCCATACACACATACACTGCCCCCATACATACATATACTGACCCCCATACATACATACACTGCCCCCCATACACACACTGGCCCCCATACACACATACACTGCCCCCCATACACACATACACTGCCCCCATACACACACACTGCCCCACAAACACTGCCCCATGCACACTGCACACCCATACACACACTGCACACACACTGCACACCCATACACACACTGCCCCACAAACACTGCACACACAGACACATACAGTGCCCTACACACACTGCTGCCCCCATACACACATTGCCCCACACACCCATGACCCCCCATACATACAGTGCCCCCATACACACACTTCCCCCATACATAAAGTGCCCTCCCCATACACACACACACTTCCCCCATACATAAAGTGCCCTCCCCATACACACACTACCCCACACAGACATACAGTGCCCCCCATACACACACTGTCCCAAACACACATACAGTGCCCCCCATACACACACTGCCACCCTCACACACACACTGCCCCACACATACACTGCCCCCTAACACACACTGCAACCCTGACATACACTGCCGCCCTCATGCACTCACACACACACTTCACCACTCACACACACTGCACCTTTGACACACTCTTCACCCCTAACACACACCACTGCTCCTATGACCTATATCCCAGCAGACCCCAGGTAAGTTGTCAAACTGTTCTTAAACGGCATGACTACTTACTCTGGGGTGGGATCCTGGCACTACTGGCACCATAACTACTACACTGAGCTGTAGTGGTTATTGTGCCAGGATTATTTATTCAAATAATCTACAAGTGCCCCTCCCGAGATCATGCTCTGGATCCGCCACTGCTAGATGTTGCCCACTGAGCTACCAGAACATGATTAAAGTAATGTGCCTGGCACACACGCAGTTGCAAGTGCCCACCTAACAAACAGACTGATTGCTTATTTCTCTGTGGCACTGGGCTTAGCGCAGGGTACAAAAAAACTTAGTATAGCACCCACAAAAATAATCGCTGTAGTTTGCAGATTCAACAACAGAATTCTTTCCTAATCTGTCCCTCACAGCTGCAGCATCCTCTCCCTACACTAATAAGAGCACATTACTTGAAAGCAGACTGTATTAAAGGACCACTACAGTGCCAGGAAAACATACTCACCCACAAGGTCCCGCTCCCGCCGGGCTAGATGGAGAGGAAAGGGGTTACACTTACCTCTTTCTCCAGTGCCATGCGGGGAGCTCTCCTCCTCCTCTCCTCCTCTTCGGCAGAATGCGCATGCGTGGCAGGAGCTGCGCACGCATTCAGCCAGCCCAAAGGAAAGCATTCACGCTGGCGTCTTCTCACTGTGATTTTCACAGGGAGAAACGCGGAAGCCCTCTAGCAGCTGTCAATGAGACAGCCACTAGAGGCTGAATTAACCCATTTATAAACATAGCAGTTTCTGTGAAACTGCTATGTTTATAAAAAAAAAGGGTTAACCCTAGATAGACCAGGCCCCCAGACCACTTTATTAAGCTGAAGTGGTCTGGGTGCCTATAGTGGTCCTTTAAGTAGACTCCTTCAAGTAGGAGTTAGAAAACCAGGAGTTGCTTGGAGTGGTTTGTATACTGTGGAGAGTGGTTTGTATTTTATTTTTGTTTAATCTGTAACATTTGTAACGTTAAAAAAAAAAAAAGTTTTGTTTTTCATTTTTTTTTCTGTGTTCTGGTTTTCCCCCTCTTTTGTGCTGCTGCTTGATTGATTGGGGGAGTGTTCATTAATTGCACCTGTGTGGGATTTGTATCCCCATAAAGGCACACCCCTAACTCACTGAGCTTGCTCACATTACTTGAAAGTAGACTCTATTAAATAGACTCTTTCAAGTAGGAGTTAGAAAACCAGGAGTTTAACCCCTTAAAACCGGAGGACGTACAATTACGCCCTCTAATAGGCGGCTCTAATTGTACGCCCTCCGGTTTTTGTTAACTTACCCGGTCGCCGGCGGTCCCACGCCGGCGATCGCGGTTGGGGGGACTCCCAGGGAGCCCCCCGCGGCACGTCCGTCCTCGTCGAAGCCCCCCGGCCATGTGAGAGTGGGGTCCTAGCGAGGACCCCACAATCACATGGCCGGGGATAGCTGGCTTCTGTATTGCCGGCAGGGGGGCTGCCTGTAATGACAGGTGGTCCCCCTGCTGGCTGAAAATAAAATTAAAATAAGTTAATGGTGTAAAAAAAAATAATATATACTTAGATCATATGTATATATTATATATATATGATCTAAGTATATATATACACATATACATACACACACATACACCGTCTAGGTGTATTTTACTATTAATATATATATAATTATATATATATATTAATATCAAATTACACGTAGACTGATACTGATTAAATATATATATAATTATTGTTATATATATATTTATATATAATATAAAAATGTAAATACGTTAAAAAATAAAATTAAAAAATAATTAAAAATAAATAATTAAAAAATATATAGATGTGTGTTATTTCGTTCTAACTGTTTTGTGAAATTAATATATATATATATATATATATATATATCAAAATACACGTAGAACGAAATAATATATATATCTATATACATAAATATATACGTATATATCACTATATATATACCTATA